AATGAGTTTCGAGACATAGAATGTGATGTTTTTCAAATGTCCTTTCTATTGTTGTTATTTAATGTTCCAAGACTTCCAATGCAAAAGCCTCTAAAAGCCTCATCTGTCAAAAATGAGCTAACAATATTGAGTGAATGCTCTCTGCACATAATATACCATTATCAAATACTTTAACTTCAAACCAGGTAAATCCCAGCCTCAACCTATTCAGAAGTACAGACAGAAACCTATTCATAGTCAAGGTGTCTGATAATGTTAATTTTGATTAAAAACATCAGACGGACTTATTAAGCCTTCTTATGTGTATTCATACCAGTTGCACTTAGTAAACATTTTAAAAACGTGTTTTTTCAGACCAAACAATGAGTTCTACTGAATCACTTTTTATACCGTTGTTGCATGGTGTCCATTACAGTGGACAGATATATAACGCCCTCAAAATAAAATATATACTTGTTTAAAAGTAAAAACAAACAATAAATACAATTTTTTGTGTGATTTAATAATTCATGCATGAAAGGGTTAACAGAAAGCACTTTTCAAAGTACTACAACAAACAGCTTGTTCAGACTACAGCGTGCTTCTTCCGGATATTGTGAAGTCACAGTGTCACTCATTGAAATAATTCCACTCATGGGTGAGGCCTGGTTGAGCTGCGCTTGAGAAGACGAAGAAGAAGGGCTGCTTTAGTAGCATGTTGTCACCATTGCGAAGAGACTGTTTTTTCCACCCCGGTTCCAAAACCCCTCTGTTTGGCCTTCCTAAAGCAGACAAACTTATTTTTAACACTGTTCCTAAACTTTATAACCCCAACGTTCATCTGTGTGCTGCACATTTTACAGAGGACAGCTTCCAGAAACTAAGAAAGTACAATGCTAGCTATGCACAAAAGCTTCTCCTGCAGCTGTATACTTGCAGTTTTACTGTTGTAATTAAATAATACTATACACTGAATACATATTGTCGTTGCACCTTTCCTATATACAGTAAAAAAAATTATGAAAAAATACCTCTCTGAAACATCCTGCTTGCCAAAATCCGTTCTTGCAAAGGTTCTGCACGATCCTCTTGTTCGTAAACATTCTCAGGGTCTGAATCAGGTAAAATTGACATCATTGTTATTATTTACAGCTGAGCAGATGAAACTCGTGGTTATGGTAAGGGACGTGACCTCTCCGAAACACACTCTAAGCGGTTCGCTAATCACAACGCACTGGGCCAGCTAACCAACAGTGCTGAGGTCTGTTCTTCGTACCTCGCTTAAAACATCTGAGATGATTTGACTGATGCCAGATCTTTCAGTCATGATAACTGATCTCTGGCTAATTTGGTTCTTCAAACAAGCTAGCGGATTGATTAAAATATCTGGATGAAGTTGTCTGAGATTACACTGTGTTGACATGTTCATTAGAAAGGGCAGATATATGGATACTTGAAACCACGATCAGCAGTGCAGTGATTGGCTGGTGGCAAGACAGCAACGTAATGACATCATATAATAAAGATCAAGGACACAGCCTAGCGAGCAAAATGACATAAAAGTTCTAATATGTAAATAAAATGTGTAACCGTTTTTAAATGATTCACAATAATTTTTCACCCTTTCTAGGGTTTGTACAGGCTTTGCATTTTTCAATGTCAAGAGTACTGAACTTAGCAGTTCATTTTGAAGCAGATTTGTTACACGTGACAGCATTAACTAAAGTTCCTTAATCCATAAGATCCATCTTAAGACATAACTGTTTAAATTAATTGTTAAATTAACTGAGATTCGATAAGTGAGTCTGCATCTCAAATGAATGCACGGCTCAGACAAACTGTACATGACTGTGTGTATGACTGCAATAAAATTATGAGATAATTATTCCTTCACGGATAAATCTCTCAGTTAGTAAAATTGGTTGTGCCTATTATTATAGATTAGGCAACATGTTAATTATTATTTTCAAAATAATCTTAAAAATATTTTCCTGATTTAATAAGGTACACTTGTAAGAAAATAGGGGCTGGAACAGAACAAATAATACAATCTAATCCGGTTTATGTTAAATAAGCTGCTCCAGAGCAGGTTTGAGCTCATGGACCTGTTGCTATGACAACAACTTCGGGACGAGCTTCAGAGAACCTAACCATTTTCGATCATGTCAAATCACCAACAATAAAATCCAGCTAATTGAGTAATCCACGTACGAAGAATGGGCCCCTGGGTAGATTAATTACAAATTGTAGTTCGTTACTGATTACAAATTATATTATGAAAAC